AGGATCCTCAACATCGACCATTGCTCCTGTGTCTCCCTAGATGGCATGCCGTTGATCAATCACCATGTCCCCAGAAATCCATTGACCGCCATCGCATGCGCCAGGAGATGATCAATTCCATTCCACGATGGAAAGAATTTGACGGTGCGGTCCGCAATTATATCTTCAGATATAACTCCGAGTCCTGTCAGGATCCCCTTCAGATTTGTCTCTCCATGGAAAGTGCCATTCGAGATCTTTGTATTATTCATTTTCCAGGCTTCAGAGCATCCAATAAATCTAATGTCAGTCTTCGATCCCTCACGGCCTATATGTGGTATGCACGACGTCAGATGAGATTGATGTGCATTATCTCGATTAAGACTATGTTTCAGTGTTGGCACCATTACACAGTGTTTGCACGCCTTCACAAACAGATATGTCAATATGGCAGATAAAACAAATGCAACAAATTGGATAATTTCCTTCGAGATAGTGTTACTAATGCACTTACCAACCGGATACATGATTGGTATCGCAACATTCGAAAGTTGTGTCCCAAACAGCCGTTCAGGAAGATTCAAATGTATAATGAACATGGGGCACCCTTGATGCCACACCAGGAATTTCACTCCTTGGTGTCCCACTTCAGTACCCGGTTTGGAGATGCCACCTTTGACATGCAACCCAATGCATTGACTGTCCTACCATTCACTCGGAGGGCTTCTCTCGCTTGCCGATCACAAAGGCACTGGCACCAGACGGGTTCCCAGCCGTTGTTTGGAAACACTTTGCGTCAGATCTAGTTGCAGTGGTTTATCCTGCCATCCATTATGCTTGGGTGTCGTAATAAGGCACTCCACCGACCAGGTGGTCCACTAAATGGCTTCATTTGTTGAGCAAACCCAAAAAAATACCCAGCACTCCCGCTGCACTTCGACCTATTTGCCTTCAACACCCCGTCAATAAAATCATGATTGGTATCCATTGCTCCCTTGTCATACATATTGCATTCCCCAACTTTCGTTCGGTGCCACTTTATCAATCGCGGCACTAAGGACTACTTGTTGCTCGTATCTGACCATTGCAGGGCCGTAAAATCTCTGTGCCAGAGGCACCACAGAGACTCACAAGCCAATGGTCTATGGGGTGGGATTCAGGTATCATTTGATCTAGAAAAAGCTTTCGATGCCATAGACCGCCAATTGGTCATTAGGGCTCTTGCTCTGTATGACTTAGATCCCAATCTCCGCTTGTTGGTGCATTCATGGCTTTAACGACATGAATATTGCATCCCACACAAGGAGCTCATTGGGCGCTTCACCGCATCGCGGGGAATCAAGCAGGGGCCCAAAGACGCCCCCATGCTATGGATCTTGAACATGTATCTCGTAATCCATAATCTCTTAGCCCATCATAACATATCCTGGATTGTCTCTCACTAATCATCTGTGTTGATGGCATTCACTTGAGATGGATCATCCATAATGTGTCCATGGGATCAATGTATCTACGCTCAAGGCCTATCATTTTAATATGAATTTGATCAAGAGTGTTACCATCATGCGCCTTGTGGGAAAATCCGCTTAGGCATTTCTGAAAAGATGGACGACGAGATTCGAGATCAAAAGAAGGGCACAAATTGAATTTGCCAGATACAATTCTAAATCTACCACTTGTTGGGAAGATTGCCTACCTAGGAATCGTCTTGAGCTATCGTGCTTTCGATACGGATATAATCCAAAGGCGCATCATTGCCGCTAATGTGTGTTTTCGCATCTTGAGGAAGTGGCTCTTGGATAGACATCATCCATTTCAATTTTTACAACCAATGTGTGTTGCTCACTGTTTCGTATGGCATTCATGAAATGGGAATTTCCTCCATTAGCTTCCAACGGATTGTTGGCATGATTCATAGGCATCACCGTATCATGGCCAGATCAACCCACGATAACATTCTATGCCCGCATGAACCTGGAACCTCCATGGCAATTCCTAGACAGACAACAAATTCGATTGACCGAGTTCTTCCTCATCCGTCGAGCCACTTTAATGAGTGAAGAAATGCTGACTGACACCACAGATGTTTGTGCATTGACCCCCAGCTTATCCTGATAATCACATAGTTGCACCGACCATCACCACTGATCTATGCCCTCAGGCGCCAGAGCTGAAGTGTCCTGAATATAATCGTGCTTTCAATCAGGCTGGATCATGGAAGAGATATATGGTTTGTCACCAAATCTCGTGCAATATCGAAGATCTCTTTCACCCACTCCGTGATGCCTTAAATGGTCAAATAATTTATAGATATTGCCATAAACCGTTCGTTGATTTGTACCGATTGAAAGCGTGCATTAATACCAGAGTCTGCTACCATTTTGACATCGCGCCGATTGCCGCCAGACGTCACTGAGGATGCACTTCAGATACAAGTCCATACCGGGCCTGCTCCTGGACAAAACCTTAGTTAGTGAACTTGCACACCACTATGCCTTTTGTCACCTAGTCATTCCCGTACGCTCGATCCACAAGTACTATGGAGAACAACATCAGGGTCTCCTCGCATTCGGAGTGGCCAACCTGGGAATTGGTCGAGGGATTTGCATTTTGTGGGAGCAAAAGAGCATTGATATTGATCCCCATCAATGTGGGGTATTGTTTCAGATTAACACATTGCAAGGCCAAACCTATGATGCATCTCATTTTCCAATTATGCCCACCATGATTCGGCCTTGGAACACTGGTCCCTAATGCCATTCATGCCACGCACCCTCAACATATTTTTTCTGCCCGCCCTGAGGCACCTCATGAGGATCAGCCCAATCGTCCGGAGCACAGAACACCACGAATCATAATAAAGCACATATTGGCCTGCTAGCCTAACGGGCCCTGCCCTGTTCCAGCTCGCATGTGCACCTATCCCCTGTGTATGGAATCAATCGGATGCAAAGCATTGGTCAATCATTTCCGCAAATTCCATGATGTCCATAAGCCAGATGGCTTTC